AACTGTTCCTTGAAATGCTGTGCTGTACAAATGTCCTGTTGCGACTGCTACAGAAATGCTGTTTTACCACACAAAATTACCTACACTTTCCCGGAATACTCCCGAAAGCATATGTAGCTGGTATGTTGTCTGTGAGGCACTGCACGTCTTTCCACAGCTGTGAGCACAGATATTATTCTTGGCTTTTGTAACTCTATCTGCCTCTTTGAATTGAATGTCATTTCACTGAGGTTTGCAGGCAACGCAACCTTCAGTGCTTTGTTCTGGGCTGTGGTGGTGAGGAGAGTAGTCTTGCTAGTTATTGAACCACACTTGTCACGCTTTAGACTGCTCCTCCTCCACCAATGCTCTCCTAGAAGTTCCACTTCCTGGTTTGTACCTTTAGGCAAAACGTAATGTTGCGAGAAGATTTTTATGTATTTACTTTGTTTCCCACCTTTCTCATCAATGGGGACCCAGGAGCTTACATCATTTTTGCCTCCATTTTATCCTCACAACAACCCTGTGAGATAGGTTAGGCTGAGGGAGAGTGACTGCCCCAAGGTCACTTGGCAAGCTTCCACGGCACAGTGGAGAGTTGAACCTCAGCCTACCAGATCCTAGTCCCCTGGTGGCGAACCAACGGCATGGGTGCCAGAGGTGGCACTCAGAGCCCTCTCTGTGGGCACGTGCGCCGTCGCCCGAGCTGCCCGGGCGGCCCCCGATTGGGCAGTTTGAATGGAGGGTAGGGGCCACGCAAGGCAGACGTCAAGCCAGCAGTGGAAGAGAAGCCGGCTGCGCCCTGTGACTCTCCTTCTCCTCCAAGGTAGCACCAGCAGCAGCCTGAAGGAGCACCTGCCCGAGTGAGTGCGCCTCTCTGCGCCCCGAGCCCCACCTGGCCGGCACCTCACCTCCTCCAAGCCTGCAAGTGTCCTTCTCCTCCTCCTCTGTCCCGTCTTCCGCCAGCATCAGCATCATCGTCTTAGTTCCTGGGAAGGGGGGTGGGCAGCCTGGCCTCTGCCTTCTTCCTGCTGCTGCTCCCCTCTCTCCCTCCCTCCAGCGCACAGGACTCGAGGTCAGGGGGCAAGAGCGGCTTCTCGAGGTGGGTGGGTGAAGACAAGGGCGTCGGCGTCATTGTGGGAGTTGCAGGAGGTCTTCGGGCTTGGAGGGGGTCGGGGGGGGCTTGCCATTGCCTCCAGTCTGCTGCTTGTTCCTGGCTGCTGGCATGACCAGGTGGGCGCCTGTTCTGATTCTTTCTCCTGTTTGCTGGGGGGAGGTGCCTGCGCAAGGGGGGGCGGGCTTGTGGCATCCTGCTGGGAGCTGCTGTCTGCCCTTGGCTTGGGATGTATTAAAAGGAAGGACAGGATTGCCCATTGGAAACAATGGGAAACACTTGAAGGCCCATTGGAAATAATGGGAGCCAGGAATGC